CAAGGCCCCAGCTGATCTGGTCCCATGATCTCTCTGCCCTCCTCTCCTACTGCTGCTCCCCCCACCCCCCATTCTGCTCTAGCCACATTATGGCCTTTTTGCTGTTCCTTAAATCTGCCAGGCCATTCTTCCTCTGTCCTTTTGACTGCAATGCTCTTCCAAAGCTTAGCTAACTTTTCACTGTTTTCAGGTCATTTCTCAATGAAGCATGCTTTGACCTTAATCATCCTATTTAAAAAACTCTAAGCTTCTCATTTCCCTTAGTGTGCCCTACTTTTCTTTCTCTTCTTTTTCTTCTTTTTCTCCATAGCACTCACCAGCATTTAACACACTAGATCATGGGCTGGCAAGCTGTGGCCCCACTGCCTGTTTTTGCGGTTTTACACGGACACAGCTTTGTTTTTCGTTTGTGCGTTGTCTGTTATGTAGCAGCAAGCAGAATTAAGTAGTTACGACAGAGGCTACATGGCTTTCAGAGCCTGAAGTACTTACTGCCTTGATTTTTACAGGGAAGTGTGCTGGCCCCTGCATTACATAACTTAGGGCTTATTATTTGTCTCCTACTGTTAGAATGCAAGCTCCACCAGAATAAGGATCTTTGTTTTGTTTTGTTCGCTCTTAAATTCTACATGCTTCTCATGGTGTCTTCTGAACAGTAGGAAGTCAATAGATGTTTGTTGAATAAATGAAATGCCTCTAAAAAGATTAAAACCTGGGGCAGTACTTACTCCAGAGGATTGTTGTGAGGATTAAATATTTTAATATATATCTACAGCTCTTAGAATCTTGACTGGCATATAATAAGCTCTCAAAAAATGTTAGTTATTAAAATTTGTTTATACACTGATACTAAAGTATATGTTTATACTGTAATATAAACCGTATACATATATCACTGTATGTCAACACTGTAATATACATATTGATCTTCTAAATATTTGTAAATCTGAAAATTGAAAAAAACACCACATAGTTTCAAGTTCCATTTTGGTGATTACAGTGAAGTTTGATATCTTTTCCCATGTTTATTGGCCATTTAGATTTCCTTTTTTTGTCAATTGCCAGTTTATATCTTTTTACTGTTTTCCTTTTGGGTTACTTATATTTTTCCTTATAAACTTTATTTTATAATTTGTTTCATATCTTTTAGAATCCTGGTTTTGACTTCAGTGGAGCAGAAATCTCAGGAAACTACAGTAAAGGTGGACCAGATTTCTCAAATCTTGAGAAATAATCACAATTTTCTTGCTGCATTTTGTGGATTCTAGCAGATGTTGCCAGCTTAATCAAAGGAATAGATTATGTGATGGAAGAAAACTGTGGATGCCTACAGTTAACAAATTGCAAAATATATTTAAACATGGCTCTAATAATTGCATTCAAATATGATTTACATAGGAAACATCTTAAATAACTTGTGGGAACTCCAATTGATACACGGTAACTTTTTTTGACTTGTTTTTTGCTCAGCATGAAGTTTTATATGCTGCATTTTACTAATTTCATATTTAACCTGTATTTTTAATATGAAAAAAATTAGGGTTTAGATCATGTGAAATGACAGGGTGCCTTCAGGGAAAATTAAGTTTTTCTTTCAATAAGTGTGATGCAGGAATAATGTTCAATAAACTTTTCTAAATAGGAATTGTGTACCCCTTTGTCTAAGTGTACCAATTCACACAAAGAACTTGTATTAATGAAAAAATTTTTCAGAAAGGAAAAAATAATCTGCAAATATATTCTGAGTAATTTTAGGTTTTTTGTTTGTTTTGTTTTTTTTTGGTGGAGGCAGGTAATTAGGTATATTTATTTATTTATTCTTGGGGGAGGTACTGGCGATACAACCAGGACCTCATGCTTGCTAAGCATGCACTCGACCACTTGAGCTATACCTCCCCCCTGGTATTCTGAGTAATTTACCGAAAAACTTTTTTTAAAAAATGTCTGAGTTAGCATATTATTCCTTGAGGAATGACTTTATGTCAAGAAACTGAAAAATACCTAACACTTGGAATAGATGAATACAAAACAGAAGTGATGAAGTGAATGTGGTTATTGGGTGAATTCCTTGTTAGTGACAAAAAATTACAGTCAATGATTATGTCAGTGACATCATTTTGATCTTTAGTGATTTGGGCATATAGGTAAGAATTATCTTGAAATTTTATTTCATCCTTCTTATGTCCTTTTTAATTTAAATGTCTTAAACAATCTGAAATGTATATAGAAAAGTTACACATAAAAGACACAGAATTGTTTTCTTCCTGAGTCCTCAGGTTTGTGTGCAAGTTGGTGACATGGTGCCCCATTATCTCTGGGTACCTTAGTGTATATTTCCTTCAAAGCACATGATTCTACATAACTACAACACAACCATTAAAATCAGGAAATTAGCACTGACACCTGACCACCGAATCCTTGGACCTTCATTCCATTCATGTTTAATTGATTGTCCCAGTAATGTCCTTGATGGCAAAAGGATCCAGTCAGAATCATGCCTTGCATTTAGGTACCAGGTGTCTTTAGTTTACTCCAAACCAGGACACGCCCTCATTTTCACTCTGACTTTTACAACCTTGGCACTTGAAGATTATAGCCTAGTTTTGTACATCTCTCATTTTGAGTTTCGTCTGGTTTTTCTTCATGATTAGATTCAGGTTATGAATCATCGGCAGGACTCTTATAGAAGTGATGCTGTGTTCTTACTGCATCCAATCATGAGTTATAAGTTTCAGTTTGTCCTTTTTCTGATAGTGTTTACAGTTGGCTTGCCATATCCAGGGGTTTCAAATACTGATTCAACAGAAGGTGGAAAATAGTTAAAAAAAAATCCAAAAAGTTCCAAAAAGCAAAATTTGAGTTTGCTATGCACTGGCAACTATTTACATAGGTTTACAATGTGTTTACAACTGTTTACATAGTATTTACATTGTATTAGGCGTTAGAAGTAACCTGGAGATGATTTAATTTATTCAGGGGGATGTGCATAGATATAAGCAAATACCATGTCATGTTACTGAGCATCTCTGGATTTTGATATCCAAGGGGGATCCTGGGAACAATACCTGTGGATACTGAGGGACAGCTATACTTCGATCACTGATTAAGTGGTGCCTGCCAGTCTTCCTCACTGTAAAGCTATTTTTTTTTAATGTTTGCAATTAAGTATTTTGTGTGATGTAGTTTCCAAGTACTGCCTTGTTTCTCACCAAACTTTCAATTTTTATGTATATATATGTATATATGTACACTCATGACTTCTTTATTCAGTGGGTTAAAATCTGTTATTCCCATTACTTCGATCCTCAACATTTTTCTAGATTTGACCAGTAGAAGACCATGCTAGGTGGCTTCTAGGCCCTTTTGACATGTCCCCATCATATTTGAGCAATTTCTTATTCTCTGGCACATGATATACCAGACTTATGTTTTCCCTTCCCTAGCCCAAGAATCAGCCATTTTTATAAGGAGCCCTGGTTGTTTTTACTGGAGATTGGTATTTAGAAGCCAGGTTCTATGTGCTAGCGAGCAATTGCTGCATATTATGCCTACATTTACATCTGTATTTATTTTTATGTCTGTATGTATATTGAAAGCCATGAGTTAACATTTAAACTTTCTAATCCTTTGGGGTTCATTTTTGCTCTCTTCCTTTCTATATAATTCCTTTCAGCAATAGTGAGATACCTGATTCTTACATCCTTAATATATTGGGTTCCCTAATCTAGATCATCTTCCCATATGAGTGTCTTTTTCTCACTCTGCTCAGGCTCCAACACCCTGTGCCAGTCAGAGTTACCCCCCTCACCTGCTGGGATCCTAACACCCTGCTCTGGGCCACTGCAGCCCAGCCACACCCTTTGGCAAGATGCCTATGTTCACTTTACTCAGTAACTTTAGGAATGAATTGTTGGGGAAGAGGCATTTTTCTTTTAATTGGCTTCTCTTCTTGACATTAAAAATTTTTTGGATTTTGAATAAACAAAGTAAAATTAACTTTTTTTTGTTTGTAGTTTTGTGAATTTTAACTTACGTAGAGATAGGTATAAACTCCAAAATTAGTAGATTGAATAGTTCAGTCACCACAAGAACTCCTTCGTGCTCTTTCTAGTCACACCCTACTACTAGCCTCAAACTCTGGAAACCACTGGTTTAGTCTCTGTCTCTGTAGTTTTGTTTGTTTGTTTTTTTAAAGAATATCATATAAATTGAATCATATGTAATCTTTTTTAAAAAATAGGTTGTTGATATATAATTCACATACCGTACACTTTACTTATTTAAAATAAGTGTATGTTGGTGGTTTTTAGTATAGTCACATAATACTTAACCACCATCATAGTCAACTTGTCATTTTCATCACCTGAAAAAACAAACAAATCCCGTACCTTTCAGCTATCACTGTCCCCATAATCCTGTCAAGCAACTGCTTATTTACTTTCCATGTATTTCTGTTCTGGCTTATTTCATACAAATGGAGTCATGTGGTCTTTTGTTTCTGGCTCACTTCGCATGTTTTAGAGGTTCATCCATGTTTTAGTATGTACTTCATTCTTTTTGTCTGGCTGAATAATCCATTGTATGACTTACACATACTTGTCCGTGTATCAGCTGATGGACATCTTGGAGGTTTCCACCTTTAGCTACTGTGCATAATTCTGCTATAAACATTCAAGTACAAATCTTTATGTGCATGTATATTTTCGTTTCTTACCCAGCAGCGGAACTTCAGGTTTTATGAAAACTCTGTTTAATCATTTGAGGAACTGGTAGATTCTTTTCCAAAGTGGCTACACCGTTTTGCATTCCCACCAGCAGTGTGTGAGAGCTCTAATTTCTCCACATTTCTGCAAACACTTACATGACCTTCTGATTCTAGCCATTCTGGTGAATGTGAAGTGGTATCACATTGTGATTGTGACTTCTCTGATGGCTAATTATATAAAGTATCTTTTCTTGTACTGATTGATGATTTGTGTATCTTCCTTGGAGAAATGTTTATTTAAATTCTTGGTCCATTTTTTAAAGGGTTATTTATCTTTGAGATCTAAGAGTCTTTGTGTATTCTGGACATAAGTCCCTTATCAGATAGACGATGCTTTTTCTGGATCAATTGATTTGATCTTTCTTTTTTTCCTTTAGATTGTTAAAATGGTGGGTTATATTGATTTTCTAATTTTAAACCAGCTTACATCTCCCCCCAATCCTAAACCTGGTCATGTTGTATTATTCATTTTATATATCTGAACTTGTTTGTTGATTTTTATGTGTTCATTCGGGATATTGGTCAATAGCTTTTAAAAATTAAAAAAAAATTTGTATTTATCTAGGTTTGGTATCAGGTTAATGCTGGCCTTATAAAATGAATTGAGAAGTGATTCTTCTAATTTCTGGGAGAGATTTGTAGAATTTGTGCTAGGTCTTCTTTAAATTATTTATAGGATTTTCCAGTAAGATTCTAAACAATGAGTTGAATTTTTTAAACTAGTAAGTTTACTTAGGTTATCTAATTTTAAGTTTTCGTAGTTCACGTCTTTCAAGGAATTGATTCATCTAATTATGTGTAGAGTTGTTTGTGGTAGTAAAAAAGGTAGTGTCCATTCAGTATCTTTAGATTCTGTAGTGGTATCTCTTTCATTCCTAAAATTGGTCATTTCTTTTTTTGTCAGTCTTGCTAGAGGTTTATCAATTTTATTGCTTGAAGCCTTGTCCATTTCTCCTTTCAGTGCTCTCAGTTTTGTCTTCACTTCCAAGTACAGGTATGAGACCTTGGGCTAGTCCCATACCTGCTCTGTGGCTCTGGTTCTTTTGTAAATTGGGATAACCTCATTCAGTTTGGAGGATTACATACATGAGATGATTCATATACAACATCTGACACTAGCACCTGACAGTAACAACTGTCATTGCTAATCACAAATACTAGATCAGAAATGTTTGTTTTCAGATAGTGTGTCACAAAGTTCGAAATACATGGAAGGTTCAGATGCCCTTTTTTAAAAACAGTACTTTTGAAAAGAGGGATTATTAAATATATCTAACTTGAGTCAAGTGCAAAAGGAACCTTCTTTTATAAAAGTTTTTCTTTCATCATTAATTCCTTGCAGTGTCTACTTTATAAGATGTCTTGTTTAATTAAACATGAACAGTTCAAAATCATACGTTGTTTCAATTCCAATAATAATTAACAAGTGATCTAAGCAGACTAACACAATACTTGGCAGTTACCTGTCATTATC